AAATGTATACATTTTAAGCATCCTTCCTAAACTCTACAGGAATTTCAACATCACTTGCAGCCTTTTGTCAGTAACCTGTGCAGTTTGTAGATCCTTCAGCAGGATGATGATCCAATCTATATGAATAAATTAGCTTAGAAATGGCTCAGCACACTTAAAATATACCTTCCTTTGTAAACATCTCAGTCCTTAAATCCTACGGGAAAGCCCTGGAAACGTCTCCGTTAATCGATTGTCTACATTTCCTAGTGCCAGATTAAATAGCTACATTACATTATTAAAAGGACATTACAATTATTTTTAGGCTTTTTTTGCTACTATATACACTCTTTTTATATTGTCTGTTGTATTTTTATCTTTAATGGCATCTTGCTTTAACTCCTTGTACTTTATATAAGCTTTATAAAACCAGTATTTCTAAGTCTAAGTCATCTTCACCATATGAGCCTGGTGTCTTTAAAATAAGGAAAATGCGGTGAGCGTGAACTTAATTTAGCTGAAGGACAGATTTAGCTCATTAATACATTGAAATTAAAATACATTGAAATTAAATCCTTTATCACACCTCAGGAGTTAAAGGCAAACGTGAGATCTTTTCAATTTTTAACAGATGAATAATGATTAAAAATCTTAAGTTTAATATCTAAAATAGAAGGAGAGCGTGTTTGTTTTACCAGGAGGTCTTCATCATCTAAATCATCATCTCCAATGTCTTCGTCGTCTAGATCTTTCATACATAGAGCCGCCATTCGCTCAATTTCAGACATTGGAACAGGAGCTGAAAAGAACAAAAACATAAAGAAGTTTAGTGTTGAGTATTTAGGCTCAAATTATGTTAGTTAACTATATCAAGGAAGGTTACAATGTTCCTTCTCTGATTTTCATCATTAATTAGCTTTTTTATTTAAAGATTTAAGAACTAAGCATGAGGTTGCTCCCTGTGAGAGTTTATTTTTCCTGTAATATTGAATGGAAATTTCTCAGTTTCTCCTTCTTTAAAAGGAAGACATATTTGCAGTTTCCAAGGCTCTCTAAAAGCTCCTTGGATTATTTATATATTTCTCTGAGATCATTAGATCTGCACAATGCAAGAGAAGCAAACTTACATCTTCCTTCTCCTTTTTTCCCCTGGGGTCTCCCTCCTTTTCCACCCCCTCCAACCAAACTGAGAAGCTCTGCCTCCAGGTCCTCGTCATTCCCCAAATCGTCCAACCCGCCGTCCGGGGTGAGGTCAAGCAGAAGCCCCATCTGGGATCCAAACACAAGAAGAGCTGTTGAATTAGGAAATCTGATACACTCTACCACGACAAAACAAACCTCAAGCTCTGCCCACTGAACAGTTCTGATCATGTTTTTCTGTGAGCTACGCAAGTTAGCAGGTTAAAAAGTCCTGCAATTGAAACTAATGGAAAAGTAATCAACAAAATGTTTTCAGCTGGTGGCATTACACAATGAACTGGTTCATTAGTTATCAGTATGCATCAAAGAACAACAACAAAAAAAGAGATGCGCTGATGTTACTCTGAATGACAAAAGCTCAAGCAATGAACTAGTGAATAAAATCATTCAAAAAAATCTTTATTAATAGCTAATTACATTAATAAAGAAAATCTTTTCATCACCAAAAAAACTAACTCTGGGTGATAATAATCCTATAAATGCCCCAGGTTTCTTTTGCTGAAAACAATACAGAACAAACAACAGCAGTTAAAGAACAAGGAACACAACAAACACAACAGAGCAATCGGCATGACTGGGTTATAGAAAAGTATCCCACATTCTGAACAGCTCACAGAGCTCTGTTTCAGTAGTCGTCTAAAAAATAAATAAATAAATAAAAAAAGTCTGCTCCATCCACCAACCTGCAGCTCTTCCACCGATTTGTACATATTTGTACATGTGTATATTATCTGTAACTTAACCAGAAATCACTCCTCTAAATTTTACTACATAAAATCCCCAAAAATACATTACATCTTTAAGATATAATGATACAAAATGTGAAAACGCTAAAGGAGTAGGGATGTTTTTATGTAAGGTAAGGAGCTGCTTGTTCTGCCAAATAATGTTAAAGAATCGTTTGAAAAAAAATTCAATACATCCGGATTATTATGTGGATCATCACCAACATTTAATGGATTGTTCCTCGGACTAAGGTGCACCTTTGGTAAAGATTGAATTAAAATGAGTTCATAACTTTTCAAGTTATTCCGTATACAGATGGACAAACACACACAATCTCAACTAATAACATAACATCCTTGGCGGAGATTAAAATGCAACTGAAGTACTTTCCAGTTCCAACTTTTTATTGTCATTACACTGTCAAAAGTACAGAGCTACAAAATTAACTCTCTGCATTTAACCCGTCCCCTCAGGGAGCAGTAGGCTGCCATTGTGCAGCGCCCGGGGAGCAGTGTGGGGTTTAGGGGTCTTGCTCAGGGACCCAGAGTGGCAGTCTGTGGGAGTGGGGCTTGAACTCAGAACCTCTAGATCAGGCATCCCCAAACTCGGTCCTCAATGCCCGCTGTCCTGCAGGTTTTAGAGGTTTCCTTGCTCCAGCACAGCTGATTTTAATTGAAAGCTGATTAACAGGCTTCAGCTCTACTGTAATCATGATAATCAGCTGTGCTAAAGCAGGGAAACCTCTAAAACCTGCAGGACAACGGCCCTCAAGGACCGAGTTTGGGGATGCCTGCTCTAGATTCTAAGAGCAATGCCCTAAACACTAGGCCTCCACTCCCCAGTTACTGAGTAACTGATCTATCGACTGCTCATGATAATAATGATTATAACAACTGATTTAATATTTAGTTATAAAATTTACAAAATAAATAGTTTCAATACATAGAATAGATTAAATTACAGTAAACTGTTTAATGTATTTTCACTCAACTTCCAAACGACTTGGCAGACTGAGAAGTAGGGAAAATAACATTTAACCAATAAACCTTGATTTTAAAAAGAAGAGTGTCTCTCATAGGTGCATTTTTTGTTTTAGAACAAATTAGGTTTAATTAAGTTAGTTTCCTCACAATGGATAGAGTAGCCTGAAATTTTACTCAATTAAGAGTAATGATATTTTATCATATTTTTACTTAAGGAAAAGTAAAAAACTACAACAAAAATGATTATTATTATTTTTTAAATTACTCAAGGAAATGTACCTGGGCAAATGTAATTAGTTACTAACCACCTCAGTTTGACTGATGCTTACATTTTACTGTTCGATCCAAATCCACTTTTTTAGAAACTAGATGTCCTGTCTAAAACTGGAGAAAATTAGACACAGCATTCAAATAAGAACTTTCAGAAGATGTGGGGCCCCTTTTTAAAAGAATTTCAGACACTTTAAAGGTTTGGCCCTTGAATACAGCTGAGCCATGCTGCACATTTATTGAACACTCTGAGGTTTTGGTCTAACAATGATTTTTAAAAAATATGACTAGTAACTAGTGTTGCACCGATACCAGTATCGGACGGGGCCCCGATACTGCCCTAAAATGGTGGCATCGGTATCGGCGAGTACCAACAAATAGGGCACCGATACCATTTTGAGAGCCATAAGTTTATTCAACTATTGTCACCCACTCCTGGTAGGCAATAAAAAGTTCTACTGGATTCAATTTGTGTTAGATTTTTTTCCTGCTTCACAAAGGTAGGCAGCAGCTCGACAAAGCCATGATGGCAATTATTTTACATTATTATGGTATCGGTATCGGCCGATACTGCACAGCCAGGTATTGGGTTTCGGTATCGGGGCCAAAAAATGGCATCGGCGCAACACTACTAGTAACCTGGCAGTAACATGGAGGGGATTATTTTGCACACTGTTCAATTTCATTTCTTCCCTTTCTTGTATTTCTTTAAGTCTTATTTTTTGTTCGGTTTTGTTTTTTCCTGTTTATTTGATACATTTCATTTGTGCATGGAGTAATTGATATGTATCCATCTCATGTCTGTGTAGCGACTATTCAGCACTGCACATTTGTTATAATATGAAATGATCAATAAAAAAGATTTTGATTAAAAAAAGAACATATTTATATTTTAAGGTTATCCATTGTTTGCACTTTTCTAAAATGAAACTTAATAAGCTATTTTCCTGTGTCTCACCTACATGTCATAAATGTAAATCAGATGATGCGACTTTGGGTCATCTGTTCTGCTCCTGCCCTAAGCTTATGAACTTCTGGTACAGGATATTTAGATTTTATAGTAACGTTTATGGCAAAGTTCTATATCCAGATAATCATTGGATAAATCTGGGTCCCCAGTAAGCTGACACTGTTTTGTCTTGTATATTTTTATTATGTCATACTTGTTTACGTTTTGTTGTATTCTTTTTTCCCCCTCTCTTGTCTTGTCAGTTTAACTCTGAAAAAGCATAAATAAATTTATTTTTAAAAAGAACATATTTATCAGTGCAGTATTTTTCCACTGGGAGGCTACTTTTTTTTTAATCGAGGAGGGAGTTATATTGGCTTGCAGGGAATTAATACCAGGCATCATTTTTAAATAAATGTAATCAGATATGAGAGGAATTACCTGTTTGGCTCTAGCTGCCCCTTGACCCCGGGGTGGGGGGTTCCTGCTGCGACTCATAGACTGTAAGCACCTGAGAGGAGAAAACCATTTGAAATTATTTGAATTCAGTTGCAAATCAATGAAACAATATAAACACACTGGGATCACATAGAATAACCTAGCATATCAGTGACACTTTAAGCTGTCATATTTCATGTTAGCGTCTCCTCTGCTGTTAGCATCCAGCTAAAATAAGCTCACAGTTTCTGGGTTTTCTAAGTGATTGTTTTACCTTTACAGCCTCGATGGATGTTGTGATGTCACCTTGGCCCCCTCGGTTCAAAAAACGTCACCCTAAACAGCAAATTAAGGGAAACGGATCTGTTTAATCCTTCAGTTTGAGATATCAAAACAAGAAGATCATCCGTGTAAATTACTTCCTGTATTACCGCTTTACGGCGGGTCGGAAACACGCCTACTTCTGACGTAAAGCTGTGACGTCTGATCCTGTTAAAGACGCACGCATTTCGGTGAGAAATGTTTTCATCCCAACGTTAGAAAGTGCTTATCAAGATGGAAAATACACTCAGAGACAAAAATATCTAAACTAATACCTTAATTGAAGATTATTTAACGTTTAAAACCACTTTTCACTTTGTTAGCTAAGCCGAATTTTGCTAGCTAAATAGTTGCTCTAAAATTGTTGTATTAAGACAATTCAAATGAGTATAAAATGGTGTTTGTATTCCGTCCTGTCTAATCATGTGTTTAAATCAACTTTTTTATTTTTTATTTTAAGGAAAATGGACAAAGGGAAAACAAAGAATAACAGAAACGGTAAAAGAAACACCTCATTTAACCAGTGAAATTATTGTGACCAATATATCATTAACATTTTGTTTTGGACCCATAGCTGCAGCACTGATTGATTGCATCTGTAAAATTCCAGGTCTTGTCACAGATTCTTTCATTAAATTATAGTATGGGCTTTAACAGATTTGCTTTGTAAACCTCTGTAGCTCTGTCTTTCTTTGCTTTGTATTTATTTTTAAATCCATCTTTCTATCAATTTTAAACAGACTTTTTCTCCCTGAAGAGAATGAATCCCCGCTGCATGATGGTGCCACTACTGTATTTCATGATGGGGAGGTAGTGAAGCCACTATGAAGGGAACTTTCTAATCATAGACCTTTGGCATTTTGCGTGTTGGCTAAAAAAAAGTTAAGTTTTGCTGTTATCTGACCTAAACACGTTTAATCTACATCAGCTATTTGTTTATGTTGAAAACCAAACACTGCATAGAGGCAGTCCTATCACAGTCATTATTATACATAGTTATATTGAGATGACTGTTCTGATTTAATATATTGTGCAGCTTTAGAGAAAATGCTCATATTAAAGGAAGGGGGACTCAGTAAGTTCCTGTGATGGTTAAATTAAAAACAGTTAAGTTAATCCATTTAATAATGCTGTCATATCATATCGTCATAATCCATTGTTGGTCTAAAATCTATTTAGGTTAAAGTCAAATGAATGAATTAGATGAGTTCAAACTAAAATGACACAGAAAGATCCCACCTAGTGCCCGGTATGGGAATAAAAAGGTACTGTCTCCTTAAATGGGCCATTTTTGTTGGGTTTCTACACCTTTATTCTGTTTTTACGCTGGGAAATACAGTGGATGTGAAGGGAGATAGAGAAAAGCTTTATTTTTTCCTCATCATCGCATGCTGTATAACAGTCCTCTAACCGTTTGATTAGATCCTTGATGAGCTTCAAGAGCATATTCTCTGTTGATTGTACCCAGCACAGCCTTCTGAAGTAGTCGGTGTAAGTTAAAGGTATAGTGAAGGATGTTCTTTTTTCCAGTTGGATCATCAAAATAAGTGGTCCTCCTAATTGTCAATCATTCTAGTGATATACGTACGTAAGGCCGTCCTAGGGGCTCGTCCCCATTTTAACTTACTGGTGATGAGTCTGACATAGTGGAAAAACTGCAAATCTTCTTTTGGAAAGGAAGCTTGTATGAGCGATGCAAACAGCAAATTTTAAATGGAGCATATACAAGGAAAAATGGGCTTGTGCACGCTCTCGCACGTGTTTAATAGGTGTTCCCTCTCAGGATCGGGTAGAGCTGAGTGTACCAGTATTTGCATTTTTTTGGGGAGAGGGCAAGTCTTCAAAAATTCATGAAAATCCTCCTCTATACCTTCAAGAAACTTAAAGTCAAAGCAGCTTTCCTCACTGTCTTTGTAATTTTCAAGGGGACTTTTCTCCACCACGAACTCGGTCCCTTCGGTCAAAGAAGATGACATGTTCGACTGATGTGGCTCTCCTTTCAAAGGTAGTTAGCGCAGGAGCAGAGCCGCTAAATGTATTTAATCCAAACAAACTGATAAGTTGGATTCTGTTTTAAATATAGGGAAACAAAGGAGATGTTAAAGAGGCTGGCAAAGAGCTGCTGCAGTCCAATCCTGAAGACAGTCCAGCAGTCAAAATTAAACAGCATCAGGTAGAGGAACTGCCCAGTCTCCTAAAACCAGATGGTTCTAATATGGGAAACAATTCAGAAGGGACACATGCTGCAGAGATTGGAAATACAGAGAGGGAAGAGACTGCTGTTCATGATCCAAATCCTGGTTTTGAGCTGAAAAGCCATGAAGAGCAAGCTAATGATTGTATTAATGGAAAAGGAACGTCCTCAGAAGAATGTAGCAGATCACCAAACCAACCGCAGGTATCTCTGCCGGTCTCTGATAATGACAGCGAATCCTCTTGTGGCATTTTGGAGAAGCAAGTTGTTGAAAAGGAAGGCTGTAATTTAAAGAGAAATCAAGACACTGACAAAGATCAGCCCAGCTGTTTTCTGACCGATGCCAAGGAGTCGGCGGTGAGTTTCCCAGTCAAGAAGAAGCGAAGGATGGGAATGTGCGGTCTGACAGAGAAGGAACGGAGTTACTATCTACGGACACAGCAGAGAGACGGAGAGGCGCGTGATAGAACAGCTGAGCTGGAAGCTTTAGAAGAAGATGTCTCCACAATACATTTAGAGTCGGCACCTTTTCCCATCTCAGCTGAGGTCATGGAGGCAACCACGGAAGAGCCTCAGTGCCCGCACAGTGGAGATGATCACCGGTCAGTATTTTCTTACCTTTTAAGTATCATTACACGATGCAGTGAAGGAATGAATTAACTGCATGTTCAGTAGAATAGTCCTTCATTGTCAGAACAAGTCTGAAACTGTTCTTGTCTCACAGCGGTATTATTCATAGATATTACACTAATAGAAGAGAAACATACACATTGTAAGATGAACATTGGCATTCACATCACTGAATTTTCCTCATTCAAATTAAACATTAACTGATGGACAAAAGTATTTCTCAGTTAAACTGGATAATTATGTACCTTCCACCTGATGGTAATAGTCTTTATTCATAGTTTATAGCTTGATCAGGGTTAGATGAGATGTTATGATCTAATCTCAACTTATCCTCATGGGAGGAGTAATGAAAATGCTTCATCAAATATTAATTTAATGAAGCAGTTTTCTCAGCAAATGACAGACATTTTAAAGGAGTATTTATTTAGGATATATATATATATATATATCTGCTCTAGTCCATCTATGTCTTGTTCCAGTAGCCAATTTGTCATCAACTTGCCCTGGTTCCCTAGCAACTGACGCGGACCTTGTTAACCCGGGCGACGTCCGAGCCGGTATGGCTCTTGTATTTGCAGTATCACTCATGCCTGAGGTAGGCCACTAAGCACAAAGGACCTTGCCTAAGGGTCCACCTGGATGATGTCCATGCCGGGAATCGAACCCCGGAGTCGTCGGTGTTACCTACCGAGCTATCCAGTTGTGATGGCTAACCAACCAGACANCATGGCAGTTGGCAACTACAAGCAACTTCACAGAAACATGCAAATTGTCAGTCAGATTGTCAAATTTTTATGACATGTAAGATTTAAATTTTTCCTATAGACTTAGTTCAGGCAGGCAGCTGTAGGCTGACTGGTTCTTCTTGGCCAGTCAGTTGAAAGCCTTGATATATATATATATACCGGTATATATATATATATATATACATATACTCTAAATTATGAGAATAAAGTTGTAATATCATGACAATTAAGTCCTAAAACTATATAATACTATAGCAAATAAAGTTGTATATAAATTGAAGACGAATAAAGAGGTACTTTTGTGGGAACTCTTAGAAGAAAGAGCAGTCCAAACAAAATGTTTTCAGAATAATAAAACTCAATTCTTGTAATGTCTTAGCATGGCCATATTATTGCACTGTACACAGTCCATAAGGTTTATATGATAATACAGAGAATATCCAAAGAAAGCCACAATGGTCACAGAAATCACTAAACCTGCTTTTAAACCCTGCAACAATAGAATTATGAAAAAATATAAACGAATTAAGGAAAAAGACCTGGACAAAAATGATGGTACCTTGTTTACATGGTGTGTACCACACTTAATTATGACTGCAGTTGTACATATTGTTCATAAATGTAAGATCCAAGGAGTTTAGCCAACCCCCATAGAAGTGGCAACAGAAGGAAAATTGTTGACAAATCAAGATGGATATGGAGCCAAGAAAATGTTCTAAACAGATTAAAGGCGACCTTCAATCTAAAGTAACATCGTCATTTCAGACCATCCATCATGGTTTGAGCTAAAGTGGACTCAATGGGAGATGGCCAAGAAAGACACCATTGTTGGAAACAAATGACAAAAAAGCCAGACTGGAATTTACCAAATGGCATGCTGACAATCCACTAAGCCTCTGGGAAAATGTTCCATGGGCAAATGAGACAAAAACAAAGGCACATTAGCTCTATGTTTAAGGACGGAAATAGTGAAACACAGAAAAGGACACCGTCCCTACTGTGAAACATGAAGAAGGCTCTGTTATTCTCTGGAGCTCCTTTGCTTCTTCTGGCTCAGAGTGTCTTAAATCTCCACAGAGTACTTTGAAATCTTAAACTATCAATGGATTCTTGAGAGATGTTCTGCTCAGAGTCAGAAAGCTTGGTCTCAGTCGCAGGTCATGGGTCTTCTGCAGGATAATGACCAAAAACAGCTAAAAAACAACCAAGAATGGCTATTCTGAAGTAGCATTTTATGAGCTCTGACCCAAACCCTATTTAGCATCTTTTGAAGGAGCTGAAAACAGCCGTCTGGAAAAGGCACCATTCCAAACTGAGACATCTGGAGTAGTTTGTTCATAAAAAGTGGACCAAAATACTTACTGAGAGGAGCAGAAGTCTCATTGATAGATATAGGAAGCCATTGATTGCAGTAGTTGACTTAAACGGTTTTGCAACAAAATATTAAGGGTACCAACATTTTTGTCTAAGCCTGTTTTAGGAGTTTATTTTCTTAAGTCATTTTGTTGAAGCTTGGTTGAAAAGCAAAGTCTGACTTTAATTTGTTCAATTTCATAGAAGCTTTATTAATTATTACTTTTTGATAGATTCATGTTATTTCTTTGACCATTGTGGGTTTTTCTTTGTACTGCTGTATTTTATTACTGACATTTTTTACCTTCAACACAGAGCGGGAACTGAAGTCAGCCATGCTGTGATAGAATCAAATGGAACCGGTACCACGATTAACCCAGCCTGCTTAGAGGGAGGACAACATGAGGCCAGCGGAGGCTCTCTGGCTGGTTCAGAGTTAAATGGCAACACAGAATTAATACAACCCGCAAAGGAAGAAGAAAAGAAACATCTGGAGAACCTGCTGGCAACAGAGGCTCAGGTGCCGGAAATTCAAATAAAAATGGGTGAAGATTTCTCTCAAAAAGTCGAGATAAATACCCTCGGTGCAAAGCAGCCTGAGGAAAGTGATGCTGAGGCTGCTGGTCCACACATGTGCTGTTCCAGCGGGACAACAGATGAAAGAAATATAGAGACGACTGAGCAAAGCTCTTCCTCTGCAGACTCTCTGTCTAAAGAATTAAACAGTGGTTCTAAGAAACTCTGTGTCACTTCACTGACATCTTCAGTCCCAGAGAGGAGTTACAGCGTAAGTAGCTGAGATAGATCCTATAACAATTTATGCCCTTTTAAACAGCCCTCTTCCTACAGTCCTTAATGTGTTTGAAAGCTGTTTGGATTGATCCCCCCTCCCCCCTTTCTTTGTACAGTGTGATTCCAATGATGATACAGCTGCTGGTCCATCTGTAGCTGAACACACTCCAACCAGGGACCCAGGCGACCTGTTGAGCTCTGGATGCTTAGATTACGTGTCAGACTCGCAGCTTAACACCATTCCCCTCATGTAAGAAAAATGTCAATAAATGAAACACGTTTGAGTTTAGAATTGTATCTCAAAAATGTCAGTATGATCAAAAAATATGTTTATATAAAAAATGTAGAAAAGGTAAGCCTTGTATCGATTGAAGCCTTTTTTATTTTTTACATTTTGATGGTTACAGCTTACTGCTAATGTAAACTTAAGATTCCCTTCCTTACAGAATTAGAACATCAAATCAGCTATGTATTATTTTGAATGTAAAAATTTGATGTCATGTTTATTGTATGACCTACTGTACAAAGTTACATGAAAGACTGCTGACTCATAAGTCGTCCAGGAGAAAATGGGCAGTTTTCTCTTCCAGTACGGTAAACTAGATCATTGCAAAAGGAGGATGTTCATATTGCTAAATGTGAGTATATGTAGGGAAAATTCAGTGTCAAATTCAAACTATAGGGGTAACCCCAACCCTGTTGGATCCTGAAGCAAAGTGGAATCCTAATTAAGGTTTTAACCCTTTATAGGGCACTCAGTGAAATACTTTAAAAATCTAAATTTCAAGCCAATAGTGTTATTGGAATCAAGGACAAGACAGTATTACCTTTGTAGCATAAAAAAAAATTTTTGGTTATTTTGATGACAAATGTCAATGTAATAAGAAGAAATGACAACTTGCCCAAATTAATTAAGAAAAAAAAAAAAAGAGTGCTTCTATAAGAAATTCTCGAGAAACACTCAAAGTAAAAGAAAAACTTTTTGGTACAACATAGCCTTAGAGGCATTAATGCTGATACTGGCACTTTTTAGTTTATAAACCTAAATATAATTGTTAACTAGGCTTATTAAATTCTTTTTACCTTATTTTCTTAACCTGTTAACTTTTTTTCCAACTTAATTTACAGTAGGTAATATATCATTCAAGGGCTCATGATATATTCGGTCAAATTCTAACATAAGACTTACAGCCATGTAGCGGTATCTTTGCTGTATGGCTGGATATAGATCTTGTGTTTCTAGACCTCACTGAGGGACGGGTGGGGAGTCCATTTCTAAGGGGTATGCAAGTGATCAAAAACAGTAACTTGCCCTTTAAAGGGTTAAGGAAGATTCAAAAGCTTTTGGATTCCTTGTATAAAGTCATTCACCAGAGACAGCGTCATCACAGCTGGGATAAAGAGAATGATTGGAGTTCTGCTTGATGATTTAAAGTCATCCTTCCAGATAAAAATGTATTTTGCATTTTATTAAAAGATTCCATGGTCTAAACGAAGAGTACAAACCTGATCCAGATGTGGAGATGTATCGTCTTGTGTTGGTTCACTTTGTTTCATCAAGTCCAAAGTCAGAGCAGCTGTCTACCAGGGTATTTCAGGGTTCTTTGGACCAAGAGATGGTGGAAGAACGCCCCTTCATGTTCATCCCAGGGTTGGTAGGGTTAGTGCTGAGAAAGGTGTTAACATCACAAAGGGGGCTGAGGTGTTAATAATCAGGACTTAACCTGATGTTAGTACGTTACCTAAATTGTTTGTCATTTGGGTCAGAAAGGATTGTCACAGCACCCCTGCATACCTGTAATCCTCTTGTTGAATACCTTTGTTTTAGAGCACATCATGCTCACCTCTGCTGGGAACCTCTGTGGGCTTCTTAAACACCTCAGTAGAGCCACAGACTGATCAACTCCATGTCCTTTTCTTTCTGCACTGATGTAATTATCCCAGCAAAAGGATCCCTGACAAAGTATAGTGTATGCATGGTAGAGTGCATGGACACAATTATACATTTTTAATAGTTTTTCTTCAAAATTAAAGAATTAGAAGCATAATTTGGGGTCTTCTTTCGCTTAAGCCAAAAATGATCAAAATGAGCAGAAACATATAGTAATTGCACAGATGAATTTCACTAATTTTTCTCCTTTTCAGAGTTAGGGCTTGTGCCCTTATACTCATGCTTTGAAATGGACATGTTAGGTTAAAGAGGCTGACGGAGTTTTAACCAGGCTGCTGCAGTCAGATTGGTCTTTCAAAATCCTTTTGTAAAAAAAAAAAGATTCTAAGAAAGAATTTGATTATCATGAATTCTGCACTGTTTGAGAAGAAAGTGAATCCCTGCGTAAAAATAAGAAAAATGGACAAACATTGATATTTAAAGTGATCAAGCAATGAATGTTTTCTGTTTTTTTATCCAGTGAAGAAGAATCTGATGGATCAAGCCGTCTTGAAGATGCCACGGAGCTGATCTGCGGACTGATCAGAGAACTCTCCTCTATGAAGTCAGTAGAAAACATTTCCGTTTAATCTCTTTCATCATTTTCCTCTTTACTCTCCTAACTACTGAAGATGTCTCATGTTTTATAGCCCCTTGCAGCTTTAATCTACTTTATAACCCATATCTGTGTTCTGATTGGCTGCTGTAGTTGTGCAAGCTGTATATCTTTCCTGGTTAAAACTTCAAGTAAAGCTTTGATGTGGTTGATGATGCTGCTAATGGAGTCTTCACAACCAGAGCAGAAATACAAAAAGTCCTTAACTTAGATCATCCCAGAAGCTGCTTACCAGGGCATGGAAAGTGTCATTTTGTGTTGTTAGATGTTTGAATTTTAAAGAGAAACAGGACCTATCGTTTAAAACACCTGTTCATGTAAAACTCCACCTATTCAGTCTTCGCATGAAGGAAAAAACCTGTGAATCCTGTTGATGGATTCAAGTTCAGGGTTCAAGCAACATCATCGATGCTGGTTGCTGCTAACCTTGATGTCTCACAAATACCATGTGGGGAAGGGATTCTTGTATATTTCAGCCTGTGACCCAAAAAACAATGAAAGAAACAACAAACAGGCGACCCCCTAAAAAACATGCTTTAATTTATTTACAGTGAGGAAAATAAGTATTTAAACATCCTGCTACTTTGCAAGTACTCCCACTTAGAAATCATGGAGGGGTCTGCAATTTCCATCATAAGTGCATGTCCACTGTAAGAGGCATAATATAAAATAAAAAAAAGATACCGGATTGAGTATGAGCCACTGCAGCATTTAATTTCCCTTTGGGATTTATATAGTATTTTTTAATTTAATTGAACTTCAGTGATGAAGATACAGTGCAGCACTCATTTCCTCTATTTTTTTTTCATTAAAAACACAAACCTACTTGGATCTTATTTTATGATATAGAGCAAGACAATAGTATGTGTTCAGTTTCTGTTACCCTAGTCTAGTATGTCTAGAATAACCAACTTTCTGAATGGTAAAGTCAACTCTGGGTCCCTGAGCAAGACCCTTAAAGGGGAACACCGTTTTTTTTTTACATTGGCCCCTTGATTTTACGTTATTACATCATGTTCTACTCACCCATATTAGTTTTATGTCATTTGGAGCTGTTCTGAAGATATTCTGTTATAGGTTATAGGTTATATCCAAGTTACATCTTCCTATGGGCAACGACTTGAAGGCACAAACTAAACTGTTCATAATTTATCATTTATGGTACGCCAGCATTCATAACATGTAGGCGAATCACTGTCCCCCAGACATCCACGGTTATATTTTTTATATTTATACTTTTAAAAAACAAAGCGGAGTGTGTATGATGTCATGCGCGCGCTCCGGCTACCGTTCATTCATCCTGTCCGCTGAACTGCTGCTAGTTTTACTCACATGCCTGGAAGATGTCTAGTGCTACTACCACAGATGATCTCGCTATCAAAATGGAATTGAACGATTCAGATTAGCTAGCCGGATGAATAGAAGGCTGCCTGTCACAACTCCAGTCTGGCACGCCAATGACGTCATACACACTGGATCAACACTCAAGGGGGCTGAATAATAATAATAATAATTTTTATTAAATAATTCATGGTTTCAGATTAATAAAGAGCATTCTTGGGAGAAAATAGGTTATGGACAGCAAAATAACTGTGCATCTCCATCTCCTAAGGACAAGAAACATTTAAATCAATTCATATTTATGTGTTTAAGTAACCCAGTCAAACTCCATACCTAATCCAGTTTGGGTTCTGTGGTAAAACTCGAATACATGAGGAAAATAGATGCTCTATATTAAATATCTGAGCTTGTGCTTTCAGACTCTAGATGTACAAAAGTTGTAAAATCACCCCAAGCTGTAAACTGTATAACTGAACAATCAGTACTTCTGATTCAGGATGTTTCACATAGCTACTGCCTAACCAGAGGGGGAAGAAAAGCTCAGGCTCATTTTCTCTTTGTTTTAGCCGAAAGGTGATGGTTGCTCATCGAGAACTGGAGAATCTGCGACGCAAACCTTCAAGAAGCTCCATGCGCTAATTGCTTTGCTAAGGGTGTTGTTCTCATGCAGTTGCTGTCTTGTTCATCTGTAATAAGAATATACAAGTTGATTCAATAAGTATAATACAAAAGCAGTTTTTTTTGCCATTTATTCTTAATTTCAGGATGTTTGGTTTGGTTATGTTTCGTTATTTAGTTTCTCCTGAATAAAAGTTATTTATACAACCAGAATCTGGTCTTGGCTTGACTAATTGTTTAGCTGCCTTAATCTATATTAAAGTGTCAAGATTTGTATCAGTTTCATAATGAAACTGAGGTATCTCAGATCTGTTGAAGTAACATCTGAGAGCTATTTTATTGCATTATTTGAACAAGAAATTACAGGGTTTTTTTTTATTGATCTAAATTTACAGAGTATTTGATTCGAATGTTTTCAGTAATTAAGCTGAGCCTGTTTGTTTTAAACCAAAATATCTGCATACCGTTTCTAATTAAAAGGGAACACCTGACAAATTATATGAAATGATTAAACACCTAATTAGTAATGATACATTTTTTAGATCTCTATTCTGGTGTTGAAGTATTAGCAGAAACTGAATAATCTTAACAACATCAACATGATCAGTTTGTAAGCAAACCAGATCATTTCAATTATCCAACTTTAAAAGATGGCGTTTGATTGGGTTAGTTCCATAGCTGAACTGTTACTGACCAGGATTTATGAACTTTCTCACACTTTCACACAACAATCATTTTTGTACATCTCAATGATCATGAAACACTTCACTAAAGGTTTTTTTTTCCATGCATATGCATGCTTCAAACATGTGGGCCCATGTCAATGGAATGTTCCAGGACCACATTTTATGGATGCATAAAAAAGAAAAACATCATTACAGTCCAAAGTATATTGAGCATGTTAAGATTTGAATGGAAAAGACAAAAAAACCTGTTACGCTGTTCAAAACAATTACGCAATCATAACCTTTAGGAATGATGCGGCCCTTTTTGCATCAGTGCATACCTTCTGGAATTTGGCAGCAGGTGTAACGGAAAACCAAAGGCGGAGAAAACACTGCAGTCAAATGTAAGTTCTGCTGCTTCTGTCGCCACAGTTACTTGGGAAAAGTAACCTGATTACTGTTTACTCATTTGAAAAGTAACTAAGTTACTAGACTGATGACTTAAACATAAAAGTAACTGATTTAGGTTACAAGTTACTTTATTTCCTATACAGTTGGCAGCAATTCCTGTACGACCTTACTATAAAACTTATAACCAGTTTTGCCAATACTCTATTTTGAATACATTTTCATCAATAAAATTAACATAACTTCTGACATTTAAGTTCAACTTAAGAACTTTACCTGCAAATGGTGGTTTTCAAAAATATATATAAACAAAGACTGTCCCTTTTGACTTTGATGAAATGAATAAAAAGTATTTTTTAGCTTACTTAACATACTTTTTGAAAAGAAATAAAAAAAGACATTGACTTCACGAAAAATACTTTTACTTTAAATAAAATAATAGCAGTCCCTTTAACCTGATATATTAAACAGCTTATATTGTGCAAGCAAAATTAGTCATTTATCATTAACTTTGTTTACACTGTTTTTTAATCGAGCTATTATTAAACCTTTCAAAAAAAACGCCATATATTTTATGAACACTGAACCTGTTATTTACAGCATTAGAGCAGCAAAGTCTGGTAACACAAAAGAGCAACAGTTTATAACACCAAATGTAACCTGAATTTGTTTCTTTGCTTTTTAAAAAACCTCTATATAGGCTAGTAGTGGAAACAGGAGCATGGTGCAATTGAACCAGTGGATTTACCTCATTAACAGAAGTTTTTCAAACATCTTATCAGAAAGTCTATTTCTTTTAGGCCTGATCACCAAACCTTCAAGACTGAAAAGCCGGTTAACAGGAGCACTTGATGGGGTTGAAGTGTTATACTTCAAGAAAATATTCTTTATGTTTAAAAACAGAAGCAGAATCTGAAGGTCTGACCTCAGGTAGTCCATCACTTCATTTTCTGCAGAGTTGGTGTCATCCTCTGGCTCCACCTCAAATTAGAAAAATTAAATCTCCCCTTGGCTGGCAGATGTGGTGGGCACACTTGGAGGATTCCGTGCAGCAGGAGCAGTTGCGCAACACTTGGCTTTTAAATGCTCTTTTACTTGATCCTTCCTACCTGCATCTCTCAGCCATCGAAGTTTAAATTTTGGACAACTGACA